GAATGAATCATGAAGATAAAAAAAAGAAAGTAGAATACATTTCAATATACATATATATATATAAGTATAACTCAAGCGAAGCAGTGTATTTTATTTGATAATATGTATCAAAACAAACGATCATCACAATTAAATGAGTTTTCAGACATGGAAAGAAAAAAAATACGAAGTAAATTTCACTTTATTTACATATATGATTGATTATTTAGTGTATTTTTGTCAGCAACATTGAATGAAAAAAAGTAAGTCATGAAAAACTATTTTACATCATACTCTATTGATTTGAATTTTCTTTAGCAATTCAATTAGATGTATCGAAGATTTATCTAATGAAATTTTCTATGATATTTTTGAATATCTCGAGGGTTATTATGTTTACAAGACATTTTTCAAACTTAATTATCGTTTTCAACATCTTTTCCACTCAACAATTCTATACAACATCCAACTTGATTTTGAATCACATCCAGAAATGGAACATTACTGTAACAATTTTTTTATTCCAAACAAACATCATATACTCTCGATTTATTTCGACAGAGAATCAACCATGGATGTTCTTTTGACACATTGCATGATTGATTCATCATTTCGTCGTCTTGAATCGATTTTTTTTAATGAAATTACATTCGATCATTTTGTGGTGTTACTCTTTTACTTGAAATCTTTACCTCGACTCTTCTCATTGAATGCACAATTACTTAATAAATGCACTGGTAATGTTGGAAATATTTATCGAATGATCTTCTCGTTACCTGCATTGAAATATAATAGATTGTTATTTGAAGAATATAATCTACTCGACATATTACACATATCCATACCTTTTGCTCCTAATGAGCGGTTCAGTAATATTGAATATTTAAATATTAGACATAACTGCACCTCTGAACAACTGTTCTCTATCATTCGTCACACACCTCGGCTTCGTCATTTAACTTGTATAACCCTGATAGGATCAGATCCTGATATCGAAATTAAAGAGCCAGTGATATTATCCGATTTGATATCTCTTCGTATTGATTTGTTTAAAATAGAACTAGATGAATTAGAAATCGTCATGAGAAATATATATTCTCAACTACAAATATTAAATATCGGATATAACACTGAAATTTTTTTTGATCCTGATCGATGGGAACGAATGGTTAAAGACTACTTCCTTCATTTGTCTAAATTCGATTATGCATTCATGGTACACAATTCGTCTGAATATGCGAACCATTTTACTTATATGATAATAAATCAATTGACTTCACCAATTTGGACTGAACGACAACGGTTTTATGAAGTTAAAATTGATAACGGTATGCTATTCTATATTATTCATTCGCACAGGTATATTAAAAAACGTGTTTCATTGCAAAAGATTTCTCTTTCTTTTTTTTTAGGGCGAATTTGTTTGATGATTATGAACATGTAAATATTGATAGATGTTTGAATCAATCGACTGAGCATGTTATCATGTCCAAGCAATCAAATCTCGACAAATCTTCGATACAGTTTACTCCACCGATTCAATTAACTATTAGTTGTCTCGTTCCCCGAATGGATCAACCGTTTTTCGACATGTACAAAATCGTTTTCGATGCTGTAAAATTTACTGTTCTAGATATCGATTATCCAAGGATTTCGAATGAGATATTAGTCACATTAATACCACTATTACCTAATCTTGATTCACTAAAACTATCATCTTTAAAACTTACTCAACTGGATAGTTCGTGTTACAATCATGCCGAAATGTCTTTTCTTTCATCAATTAATAACAAAATTACCAAAGTCTGTCATGAAAACATGACTGACATGCGAGAAGTAGATTTTCTCCTCAATCTTTGTCTTTATATACAACATTTCCAAGTTCATGTTCCTCAAAGTATGGATCTGAACGTGCTCTTACGACGTATTCTTATCATGGTCAGCATTCGTAATCCTCAGCTGAGATCTTTATGTCTGTGTGTTCCAAATGGCAATGATGATATCATTCATCAACTACAAAAGCTGATCGAATCAGAAACATTGATATCTAACTATGTGATCAAACGTAGTGGTAATAATATTCTTTTAAAATGGAACTGATGGTAATTTATCTACAGTAACTGCTTAGGTTGTTTTTAATTTTTTATATTCTATTATTAACCGTTGATCGAATAAAGTATGTTCTGATTGATTTGGTTCTTTTCAATCACTGATTCGTGAGAATATAGTGCACGTGTGAGAGTGTGTAATATACTACCATTATCAAAATCGTTTGTATGTGAAAAAAACTGAACAAAAACCAACTAAAATGGTTTTAAAAGCATTTAATATTCATACAGATAAATTAGTATCAACCCGGTATCATGAGATTCATCAATTCGAATGTAGACAAAATACCAGAATATGAATTCGATTATTCAGCGGATTTAAAAACTTGTTACTGGTTATAGTTTTTCTTTTTTAAATTATTTTAAAATAAATATCTTTGACTGAATATGTAGATGTCATAACACTAAAAGTATGCATGTGTTCGTTTTTTTCCTTTTCTGTTCAAATAACAATATAGAAATACGATTGAATAAACGAATATATTTCAACAAAAACGATTTTCGTCTTATCGTTATTTCTCGTATTAATTTTCTATTAAAATTTAAAACTATAAGTTACACAATATTACATTTAATTAATAACTTCATTAGAATTTATTAAACAATTATCATGTTATTGTCATGTTACATATCTAATTGCAGCAAATTAAATCAATAAACTTGATCGTAAAGAATTTATATTCGATTTAGATAATAGTAAAACACTTGATATTGTTGTTTTGATTGATAGAAATGATTATTTTTTTGAATTTGAAAATCAAGATTCTGAAATCAGTTCAAACAATACTACAGAGGTATATGCTTTTTCTCGTATTTAATGATGTAATAAATCGAATGGGTACAGCATTAAATCATTGGTTTCATTCAAATCTACAATCACCAACTATTCAACATATTTCTTTGCCTACTAATATGATTATTGTTCGATCATTTGCTCCATTACCTTTATTAATTTTTTTGATACCTATTCATCTATTTTTATCGAGTAATCTTCGAGGTATTATTAATTATATACGTAATTATAAGACAAATGATAGTATTAGATTATATTCGAGATAATATTCATCGTACAAACAGTTTTATTTATAACTCGTTACAAGAATTTGATAAAAAATATATTGAAGAATTTTATCATCTATTTGTTTTATTAGTCCTTAGATTTTCATTAGTCCACAATCGGTAGAAAATAAAGTATAGAATTAGGGTGGTGTGAGTGTGTTAGGTAGCAAACTTCTCTTCCACCAATACCCACCCACACCCTCAAGATGCACAATTATCGACTGACAAAAAGCCTTGAAGAATTAAAAGGAAAATCTGGATTAAATCTATGCCTCACATGAAATATAGTTCTTCGATAAAATTCTATCAATGTCTTGTTTTGAAAAGTTCATGCCGTGATAAACAAGAGTGCTCTTTTTATTTTATTCTTTTATTCGTGCATCAAATGATTTAATTTTATTTAAAATGTTAAAAAAAACAATTAGCTATTTGTTTTACATGAAATAACTCAATACCTTTGAAAAAGTATAAGAAAAGTTGTACAAGAATTTCTAATTAGTAAGACAAGAATAAATCCAACATGGAGTACTCAATCCGCTTGTGAGAAAACATATGATGCAGCATAATGCATGATTAGGCCCTGGTCGATGCACGATCACTTGGTGTTGTTGTTGTTGCTGTTGCTGTTGTTGTTGTTGCATTATAATAATTGGTGCAGCTCCATATGGCTGTTGACCCATATGTGGATGTGCACTCGGATAAGGTGGTGGGCCTTGTGTATTTGCATAAGGACCTTCTTGATGTGGTGGTTGTCCGTGATTATAAGACATTCTTTGATTAAAAAACCTTTAATAAATAGAATTGAATAAATCTCTTTTCGACGACAAACCTCTGAGCATGTGGGTTTGATATAATACTCATACTCACACCCACAACCTCAAGAATCATACAGTATCTTTAGAGAATCACTCCATATTTTCGTTAGTACGATCTTCAGGAAATTTCCAGCGCAGCATACTTCAGCATATATTCTAGTACTATTTCGTAGCTCTTGATGAGCTCTATCTACTCTGAAAAATGGTGGTATCATCATGAACTCAAGTATTCAATTTTCGCTTCTGAATACAAGACCTAGAATACAATTATATAGCTGAAATCTACTGTTACAAGAATCAAACGAAAAGTCAATGATTACACTCTAAATGCCGATGTAGAGACAAATTCTAGAAGTTTTTTATATTAAGGTCATTTTGCGGATCAAGTGTTACGCGTCCTTTTTAAAAAGACTTCAAATAATTTCAGGGGATATAGGAAGAACCTCACAAAGCGATGAATCGTTTTATGTATTATATAAATATTAAAAGTCTCAAAGACTTGTGCTTCACATACCTCTTGGAATTCTTGGGTAGATAAGTTGAGTGAATAGTAAAACGACACTACCTTTGAATACTTTTTTACCTTGTCCTATCGGTATATATATACATTCATACTTGCAGATATCAGTGTGTTAATAATGATGAGGCATAAAGTTGTATAAACCTTCGACAGTGATACAACTTTCTTTTTTCAGTAAAAGTCGATTTCTTATCAAAGAAAGATTAGAAAACAAAAGAAAAGATGGTATACTCATACTCTAAACATATTCCATGTGTAATCCTCTCATATTTCCTTTCTACATTCCTACTTGGAAATGTTCGATTTACGGACGAAAGATCGAAATTAAATTTGGTGCTCTTCCACTTTAGTAATCAGAGTAGATTTTTGACGTACAATTTCCTTTTTTCCTCAGTGTATGAGAAAGGAGTAAACAATGGTTTTTTTCAGTTGTTTGCTCTTATCTTTTCTTAACAAAGTCGACAAAATGTCGAGAAAAAAGAGAGGTGCTCTTACGATAATATCAACAAAAATATTTACGACACTTGCGTAGTATCTATCAGGTACGATATTCTTGGAAATATAAAAAACAGATTTTACTTAAAACCATCTTGAGGGTGTGGGTATCGATGTGAACATTATATCTATCAGAAAGCCACATCCACACCCAAAACCTCACAACAACACCCATCCACCCACACCCAAAGACTTACACCCACATCCACACCCAAAGCCTCACACC